GAGGACCACCCGAGTCACCTGACACATAATAAGTTGACATAATTCTTTGTAAAAAATATAACTAACAATAAACTGAAAATCTACTCTAAATTGCTTATTTACTATTAAGTTAAAAATGTTTTCAAAATATAACCAGAAAATGATCATCCATGCTTAGAATTATTTTTTCATCAAAAAGCTGCTTGAAATAATTGACCAAAAACATGTGATCAATATCTTCCACACATGCAGAGTAAGATAACTAGCGATTAATATGTTAACATCAGGTCAGTGTAATCAAATTTTGAACATGCCTTTGCAGGTGTCTCTTCCGCCTGTGTCTTGTGTGCAGACGTAGCTCCCTTTTCGGAGCGGAATTGCCAGGGTAAGCTGTCTCACACATGACCGCATTCACCTCAGTCAACGCCACTTTCTGAAGAGGCGATGGTTTTATAATACTTTGGCTTACAATCTCTCGAATTGATCATCGTTTTTTCTAGCTATTCAACACGCCACCTGATTATATGATGTATTATCTGACGGGTCTTTTTGCTTATACCCCCTAAAGGATGAAAATTGAAAATAAAAACTTTCGTTACAAAATCATTACGAGGCCAAACTTTGTATTTTGTGAAACGTAAGTGGATTCGACAACAGACTGAAAACAGATTTGTCACGGAACGTAATGCGACAACTCACTACAAAAAGACAACTCGCATTGAAAGACAAACTTGCAATTTACTCACACGCCGCGGTCGCAACAACGTGTTGCGAGCTTGCCAGCAGAGGGTAGGACTTTATACGAAATTTAGAGCCGGTTATCGCCGCAAAGCGGCGAAGCGCGCGTAGCGCTCCCCACCAGTGACCCTAAACCGAGAATAACAAATTTCCAACTAGCTCCAAAAACTTGCGAATTGTCGCTTTCCTTAATCTTTGCGAGTTGTCTTTTGTTGCGAGTTGTCGCAGGTACCGTTTCAGAATCCGCTAGCATTGCAATTTTTCTTTGATCTTCTTTGCTGTTTTGGATTCCACAGAACACATAGTTGAAACACTTTTTTGTTCGAAATCACTCCAAAACCTTCGAAATCACTCCAACAGAATTTTGCGGAATCCGGGACAGTTTTTTGAGTCCTCAGCCAAATAAGAATATATGATGAAAAATTTAGTTACGATTTCCTGGAATCCGCAAACTTTAAGTGGAGCCTGCAAATTGGAAGAGGAATCCGCAAATTGTAAGCGGAATCCGCATAAATTTGCGGAATCCACTTACTTTTGCGAAATTTGCTTACATTCGCGGAATTTAAAATGTAGCTGTAATGGTTCGATGCCGAATCTGCAACAAAACTAACGTGGCCACAAAATTTGTATCACAGGTATTTGTGCGCGGGATGGATCCACAATAATTTTAAAGTGGAATACACCTACGTTCTGAAACATGTTTAGAGATTTTTTTAGATTCCAAGTGACTTACAAACACGAAATTGAGCGCCTATTCAGTGCACAATCGTTAAACGGCGATTGAGCAAGCGATTGGACTCTTTATTTGTGAAATTTGTATGACGAAAATGGCAAAAAAAAAGGGAAATGGACCTGTGTGAGCCTCAATTAGAAAAAAACAGGGAAATGGACTTGTGGTGAGCCTAAATAAGATCTTAGTATTATTGTTCCAGTTTTGTATGTAAAAGCTTTTGACTTCGACTTTTCAATATTTACGATCTGGCGTCACTTAAAAATAGATTACTTGGTGGGGAAAGCTCGTGGGAAGAGTGACAAACCTCCGGCAATAAAAAGTTTCAGTTCCATTACCATTAAAAGGGCACCACATCATACCCTGACCTAAATACTGGTTGTGAAAAATAGCTAAAATGGATGTACTTAACAGTTAATAACTTTCAAGAAAGAGCGGTAATTGTTAAGCAAATCCAAACAAGACTGCTTTTTTGCAGATACAAGATACGAAATTTAGACCCGGTTATCGCCGCAAAGCGGCGAAGTGCGCGTAGTGCTCCCACAAGTGACCCTAAACCGAGAATAACAAATTTCCAACTAGCTCCAAAAACTTGCGAGTTGTCGCTTTCCTTAATCTTTGCGAGTTGTCTTTTGTTGCGAGTTGTCGCGGTACCGCTTCAGAATCCGCTAGCATTGCAATTTTTCTTTGATCTTCTTTGCTGTTTTGGATTCCACAAACACATAGTTGAAACACTGTTTTGTTCGAAATCACTCCAAAACCTTCGAAGTCACTCCAAGACAATTTTGCGGAATCCGGGACAGTTTTTTGAGTCCTCAGCCAAATAAGAATATATGAAAAAAATTTAGTTACGATTTCCTGGAATCCGCAAACTTTAATTGGAGCCTGCAAATTGGAAGAGGAATCCGCAAATTGTAAGCGGAATCCGCATAAATTTGCGGAATCCACTTACTTTTGCGAAATTCGCTTACATTCGCGGAATTTAAAATGTAGCTGTAATGGTTCGCTGCCGAATCTGCAACAAAACTAACGTGGCCACAAAATTTGTATCACAGGTATTTGTGCGCGGGATGGATCCACAATAATTTTAAAGTGGAATACACCTACGTTCTGAAACATGTTTAGAGATTTTTTTAGATTCCAGTGACCTACAAACACGGAATTGAGCGCCTATTCAGTGCAAAATCGTTAAACGGCGATTGAGCAAGCAATTGGACTCTTTATTTGTGAAATTTGTATGACGAAAATGGCAAAAAAACAGGGAAATGGACTTGTGTGAGCCTCAATTAGAAAAAAAACAGGGAAATGGACTTGTGTGAGCCTAAATAAGATCTTAGTATTATTGTTCCAGTTTTGTATGAAAAAGCTTTTGACTTCGACTTTTCAATATTTACGATCTGACGTCACTTAAAAATAGATTACTTGGTGGGGAAAGCTCGTGGGAAGAGTGACAAACCTCCGGCAATAAAAAGTTTCAGTTCCATTCCCATTAAAAGGGCCCCACATCATACCTGACCTAAAAACTGTTGTGAAAAATAGCTAATATGGATGTACTTAACAGTTAATAACTTTCAAGAAAGAGCGGTAATTGTTAAGCAAATCCAAACAAGACTGCTTTTTTGCAGATACAAGATACGAAATTTAGACCCGGTTATCGCTGCAAAGCGGCGAAGTGCGCGTAGCGCTCCCACAAGTGACCCTAAACTGAGAATAACAAATTTCCAACTAGCTCCAAAAACTTGCGAGTTGTCGCTTTCCTTAATCTTTGCGAGTTGTCTTTTGTTGCGAGTTGTCGCGGTACCGCTTCAAAATCCGCTAATATTGCAATTTTTCTTTGATCTTCTTTGCTGTTTTGGATTCCACAAACACATAGTTGAAACACTATTTTGTTCGAAATCACTCCAAAACCTTCGAAATCACTCCAACACAATTTTGCGGAATCCGGGACAGTTTTTTGAGTCCTCAGCCAAATAAGAATATATGAGAAAAATTTAGTTACGACTTCCTGGAATCCGCAAACTTTAAGTGGAGCCTGCAAATTGGAAGAGGAATCCGCAAACTGTAGGCGGAATCCGCATAAATTTGCGGAATCCGCTTACATTTGCGAAATTCACTTACATTCGCGGAATTTAAAATGTAGCTGTAATGGTTCGCTGCCGAATCTGCAACAAATTTAACGTGGCCACAAAATTTATATCACAGATATTTGTGCGCGGGATGGATCCACAATAATTTTAAAGTGGAATACACCTACGTTCTGAAACATGTTTAGAGATTTTTTTAGATTCCAGTGACCTACAAACACGAAATTGAGCGCCTATTCAGTGCACAATCGTTAAACGGCGATTGAGCAAGCGATTGGACTCTTTATTTGTGAAATTTGTATGACGAAAATGGCAAAAAAAAACAGGGAAATGGACGTGTGTGAGCCTCATTTAGAAAAAAACAGGGAAATGGTCTTGTGTGAGCCTAAATAAGATCTTAGTATTATTGTTCCAGTTTTGTATGAAAAAGCTTTTGACTTCGACTTTTCAATATTTACGATCTGACGTCACTTAAAAATAGATTACTTGGTTGGGAAAGCTCGTGGAAAGAGTGACAAACCTCCGGCAATAAACAGTTTCAGTTCCATTCCCATTGAAAGGGCACCACATCATACCCTGACCTAAAAACTGTTGTGAAAAATAGCTAATATGGATGTACTTAACAGTTAATAACTTTCAAGAAAGAGCAGTAATTGTTAAGCAAATCCAAACAAGACTGCTTTTTTGCAGATACAAGATACGAAATTTAGACCCGGTTATCGCCGCGAAGCGGCGAAGTGCGCGTAGCGCTCCCACAAGTGACCCTAAACCGAGAATAACACATTTCCAACTAGCTCCAAAAACTTGCGAGTTGTCGCTTTCCTTAATCTTTGCGAGTTGTCTTTTGTTGCGAGTTGTCGCGGTACCGCTTCAGAATCCGCTAGCATTGCAATTTTTTTTTGATCTTCTTTGCTGTTTTGGATTCCACAAACACATAGTTGAAACACTGTTTTGTTCGAAATTACTCCAAAACCTTCGAAATCACTCCAACACAATTTTGCGGACTCCGGGACAGTTTTTTGAGTCCTCAGCCAAATAAGAATATATGAGAAAAATTTAGTTACGATTTCCTGGAATCCGCAAACTTTAAGTGGAGCCTGCAAATTGGAAGAGGAATCCGCAAACTGTAAGCGGAATCCGCATAAATTTGCGGAATCTGCTTACATTTGCGAAATTCGCTTAAATTCGCGGAATTTAAAATGTAGCTGTAATGGTTCGCTGCCGAATCTGCAACAAAACTAACGTGACCACAAAATTTATATCACAGATGTTTGTGCGCGGGATCGATCCACAATAATTTTAAAGTGGAATACACCTACGTTCTGAAACATGTTTAGAGATTTTTTTTAGATTCCAGTGACCAACAAACACGAAATTGAGCGCCTATTCAGTACACAATCGTTAAACGGCGATTCAGCAAGCGATTGGACTCTTAATTTGTGAAATTTGTATGACAAAAATGGCAAAAAAAACAGGGAAATGGACTTGTGTGAGCCTCAATTAGAAAAAAACAGGGAAATGGACTTTTGTGAGCCTAAATTAGCTCTTAGTTTTATTGTTCCAGTTTTGTATGAAAAAGCCTTTGACTTCGACTTTTCAATATTTACGATCTGACCCCACTAAAAAATAGATTACTTGGTTGGGAAAGCTCGTGGGAAGAGTGACAAACCTCCGGCAATAAAGAGTTTCAGTTCCATTCCCATTAATAGGGCACCACATCATACCCTGACCTAAAAACTGTTGTGAAAAATAGCTAATATGGATGTACTTAATGGTTAATAACTTTCAAGAAAGAGCGGTAATTGTTAAGCAAATCCAAACAAGACTGCTCGTATCAAGGCGAAGCCCTGAATGTTCCGACTGACTCTTGAGGTCTATGGAGCATTAATAACATGAAAAATTTATTATAATAAAAAAAAACAATTTTTTTTAGTTTGAGATTTTTTTTGTGAAAGTCATCCCCCACACGCCAGTTAAAGTACGAAGTGATAGTTTTTGCTCCCAGAAACAAATCAGTTACGCCAAATAGCCTGCTTCAACCAATTTGAAACGATTTCTAAGACGGATTAAATCTCCGCTTACGAATTAATAGCGCGAAGTATAGCGCGCGTTAATTGTCCCAAATTGGCCAAATTGCCAATCTTTAAACTCCCATAACTTTAAGAATAACGATCACAGGTAAAATATATTTTCAAATTCAAGCTCAGGATAACAATATCTTTTGTATGATATAAAAACATTCCGTCAAACATAGCTAGTTAAAAAGTCGAAATTTGTCTGAAGAAAAAAAAACCCACCCCGAGCACAAATATTCCCGAGCCCACCCCGAGCACACGAAAGTCAGAACAATTTTGCGGAATGCGGGACAGTTTTTTGAGTCCTCAGCCAAATAAGAATATATGAGAAAAATTTAGTTACGATTTCCTGGAATCCGCAAACTTTAAGTGGAGCCTGCAAATTGGAAGAGGAATCCGCAAACTGTAAGCGGAATCCGCATAAATTTGCGGAATTCGCTTACATTTGCGAAATTCGCTTACATTCGCGGAATTTAAAATGTAGCTGTAATGGTTCGCTGCCGAATCTGCAACAAAACTAACGTGGCCACAAAAGTTATATCACAGGTATTTGTGCGCGGGATGGATCCACAATAATTTTAAAGTGGAATACACCTACGTTCTGAAACATGTTTAGAGATTTTTTTTAGAATCCAGTGACCTAAAAACACGAAATTGAGCGCCTATTCAGTGCACAATCGTTAAACGGCGATTGAGCAAGCGATTGGACTCTTTATTTGTGAAATTTGTATGACGAAAATGGCAAAAAAACAGGGAAATGGACTTGTGTGAGCCTCAATTAGAAAAAAAACAGGGAAATGGACTTTTGTGAGCCTAAATTAGATCTTAGTTTTATTGTTCCAGTTTTGTATGAAAAAGCCTTTGACTTCGACTTTTATATATTTACGATCTGACCTCACTTAAAAATAGATTACTTGGTTGGGAAAGCTCGTGGGAAGAGTGACAAACCTCCGGCAATAAAGAGTTTCAGTTCCATTCCCATTAATAGGGCACCACATCATACCCTGACCTAAAAACTGTTGTGAAAAATAGCTAAAATGGATGTACTTAATGGTTAATAACTTTCAAGAAAGAGCGGTAATTGTTAAGCAAATCCAAACAAGACTGCTCGTATCAAGGCGAAGCCCTGAATGTTCCGTCTGACTCTTGAGGTCTATGGAGCAGTAATAACATGAAAAATTTATTATAATAAAAAAAAAACAATTTTTTTTTAGTTTGAGATTTTTTTTGTGAAAGTCATCCCCCACACGCCAGTTAAAGTACGAAGTGATAGTGTTTGCTCCCAGAAACAAATCAGTTACGCCAAATAGCCTGCTTCAACCAATTTGAAACGATTTCTAAGACGGAATAAATCTCCGCTTACGCGTTAATAGCGCGAAATATAGCGCGCGTCATTGTCCCAAATTGGCCAAATTGCCAATCTTTAAACTCCCATAACTTTAAGAATAACGATCACAGGTAAAATATATTTTCAAATTCAAGCTCAGGAGAACAATATCTTTTGTATGATATAAAAACATTCCGTCAAACATAGCTAGTTAAAAAGTCGAAATTTGTCTGAAGAAAAAAAAAAACCACCCCGAGCACAAATATTCCCGAGCCCACCCCGAGCACACAAAAGTCGGAACAAAATTTTTCTCAAGTATTCTCTGCGCGCTTGTTTGAAATGAATGTTTTTATCCTGCATTTGTTCTGAATTAATACATGCTTGGGGAGGTTACTTAGGGGGTGGTTGTACGGTTGATCCAGTTAGTCAGAATTTTCGACCAGTCAAAATACAGCAAAATCCGAATTTTAAATACAACTCTCTAGTGCTAACTTACTGCTTTTATATATAGGGGTGCCAATTCTCTAGTAGATACGATAAGGAGGACGATTGTTAAGTAGATCCGCTAATTTGAACACAGCAACCACCCGGGTTGACCTCCATAGACCGAAAATGCTAATCATACAATATCATACACTTAGTCTATGGAAAAATGCTTGCTTGTCATACAAATTTCATACATTTTTGCAAAATGGGTTTAATCGAATTTCAAAGGTATTTTATAGTTGTTTTGGTATCGAGAAATTGGCATCTCTTCATAACAAAAAAGGAAAAAAAATATTATGAAAAAAATGCTAACTATACAATTTCCATATATGGAAATTGTATGATTAGAATTTTTAACAAAACTTTTTTTTGTGAAAAAAAGCTTTGAACAATCAATTCAACTGCTGGCAAAACATTTAAGCGTTTTTTGGGCTGCTACGACTGAAAACTTTGTTTTTTTAAATTTTTGTTTTCTGAAAAAAAAATAACTAGTCATACAATTTCCATATATGGAAATTGTATGACTAGCTTTTTTTTGATGGCGACTACAAAAATTTTTTGTGTTTTTTTCAAGCGCAAATTGATTTTCGTATTCAAACAAACATTTTTTGAAAAAAAAATTGCTTGCAAAATTTAATTTTTTGTGTGTATAACCTAGTCCTGGATATACTAATATTGGATTTTTTTTCCTTTTCTCTTCATAACTTTTTTCAAAAACGCTTAAAACTCCTCTTTCTTTTGTATGACATGTTTTGTATGCCTTGATCAATGTCTGGTTATTTAAAAATTCAAATTTTGGAAATAATCATCTTTGAAAATTATTGCCAAAAATTAAAAGTTCATTACTTTCGTTATATTAGTTGTCTGAGACAGAAGTAACACATATCAGACTGTTTCCAATGCATTTTTAATGCGAGACGGCCAAACCGTTGGTTACTGCGTGTGAGTAATCAATGTTTATGTCATTTGTGTTCGGTTACGAACACAACCAAAAAATTTTGAGAAATTAAAATGTACAAAATCAATATTTTTGGTTTATGGAAAAATGCTAGTCATACAATTTCCATATATGAAAAAATACTAATCATAGACCTTTCATTCAATTTTCTGTACGTATGGAATTGTATGGAAAAAGTATGACTAGTATCCCGGGCAATTCGTCAATTAGCGGCTCTGTTCTAATTGAATATATTCAATGCCGAGATGCGGACTCACCATGAGTGTTATGGCCTTGGTCTGTCTGACCCCATCTGTGTATCCCAGTCCCACAGCCATCAGAGAATTGCCTCTGCTGTTCGCCGTGAAGCCAGTGCACGGTTCCAGTGCCTAAAACAATTTTTTCAGCTGCTCATATATAAGACTATCTAGTGATCATTGCTAATTGTCGCTTTTCCACGTTTCCTTAAATTTTGCGCGTTGTCTTTTTTGTTGCGAGTAATCTTTCGTTGCGTTTTTTGCTTTGAAATTAGCGGTTCATGTCAAAATCCAAAAATCGTCAAGCCGACAACAAAAAAAAGCTCAAGAGTGTCAATAATTTTTCTCAAAGAAAAATATTTAAAAAAAGCAAAAAAAAGATAAAGCTGTATGTTATTTCACTACCAAGAAAAATCAAGAAAATTTGTATAATTGCTTCTGCCAAGAATGAAAACATAAACAACAACAGAGTTTCAAAAGAGTCAATGTACGCAAGGAAACAGAAAAAAAAACTGATTTTTTTTTTAAATTGAAAATAATTTGGTCTTTGGCTGTCACGAATAATTTAAATTAAGAATTTTTGTCAAAATTAACTCAATGTAAGAAAACTGGATAAATTAACAGATACTAAAATCCACTTTTCAACAAAAAATGATTTTCTTCGTGAATTGTACACTTTTGCTGTTCGAGAGTGAAGTTTGCCTTCCTTTCTACAGAAGAAATGAGCTGAACTTAAAACTGTAAGGCTTTTTTCTAAAAAATCACATCGACCTATATAAAAATCTTCACTACGTGCATTAAATCTAAAGCGAACAAACTACCGGGAGGCTATTTTTATAAAAAGTGAACCATATGACGAAATAATTTTAAAAAAAAAGGAGAATAGTTAGAAATTACTGTTAGCTGAGAAAATGGTGCACAAAACAGACGTCAAAAACTACAGAAGTTGAAACATTTAATTACTGAAAACAAAAATTGCTTTTTGTCTATAAACCTAACAATTGGACAAACATTTTCCTCGCGTTTTGTTTGTTTCGTAACTAATTACGATTCTTGGCTGAAATTTTGAAATACTCAATGGCTGAATTACTCATTCACGATTGGATAAAAGTTAATTTCTTATCAATTAACCGCTCCGTCAAAAAGTATTACGCCAAAATACTCGATGAAAAATGCGTCCTGAACTTTAAAGCAAAAATTAAAAGCGCATTTAGAAAAACTTTTGCAATATTTTTCACTATTTAGACAAATTTTGAAAATCAAACGTGTTTTTCAACAAAAAATTTTCATATCTCGAGAAAAAGCTGGACACCTTGAGCTCAAAAATATAAAGATTTTTTGCATTCAGTTTTAATATAGTTTTGATTGTTTGGCAGTTGCGAATTTGGCTTTTTTCTGGACTAATGTTTGAGCGCTAAAGTATATCTTTAAGCGCGAAAACGTAAGTGTGAAATCCATGAGCGTGGCATTTTGTCCCGCAACCAAAATTGATCCAAAATGTTTTAATTTCCTTTATAACTCAAAATTTAATCTTTTTGTTCTGAATTTTGATGAAAACGGTATAATTACCTCGAGCAATTTTGCTTGGGTTTTCTTTTTAAGCTTGGGTCTTTTATTCAGTCTTTTTTTGGCAATCGAAACAATAGTTTTTTTTAAAAAATAACTTTATGCCCTATTGGAGATATTGACTAACTGAAATTAAATTTGAAGATGTTTTACCTCCAAATATTTTTTTGCAAAGTTGTGAAAATTTGAAAATAGCTTATTTGGCCATGCTCTGGACTAATTTATGTAGATTTTACCCATAATGTTGAGCGCGTAACGCGAAGTATTTATGCGTGGTGAATTATCCCGCACAATAAAATCGTTCCAAATTGAATTGAGGCTAGCCATTCAGATCGGTCGAATCTGATTATTTTGTACAAATCAACATTTCACGTTTTGATATTGTCCAAAATTTATAGGTGTCCAATATTTTTTTTCCAAAAAAACTATTCTATATGGATTAAGAGAAAGTCAGAACATTCAGGGCTTCGCCTTGATATACAAGCAGTCTTGTTGGGTGCTATGCATCAGCTGGGCCCAAATGAACTGAATAATTTAAAATAACAACAAGGACAGCCAGTTACTGTGCAACTAGCGCAGAATGTTCCGACCATAGTCTTTAAAAACTACAAGAAAAAAAACTTATCAAATTCTCTTATGGTTTTTTTTTGATTTTTTGAAGTATTTGATTCTCAAGATGGTATTTAAAATTTTAAAATCTCCAAAATTAATTTTTTTTTCTTGTAAAAAAAAGCATTTTTCCCGACAATAGGAAAGTGTTTTCAATTGTTTAATGTTGTTCGAATCAAGACTCCTCCCCATTTTCAAGGGTCGGAACAATAAATTGTGAATCAATTTACCTGCTGACATTTTCAAAATCATGATTTTGTATTTTATACAGAAATCAACGTTCTTATCTGGTTAAAATGTAATTGAATTACTTGACCATGTTGGTGGATTTTTTGTAATAAATCCAAGATTAGCTGGAATTTTCATAAAGCAAAAAAAAAACTGAATTTTTTCTATGAAGCAACAGAATTGGCTCTATAAGCAGCAGAAATCGTTGGGGCCTGGCAGACAAAACGATTTATTCAAAACATCTATTAGCATCCCATTTGATTTCAACCAATCACAGTTGAGCACTAAATTTCTTTTTTAACAGTTTTATGTTTTCCAACTTGTGCGAAAAAGTAAAAAATCCAATCCCAAAATATTCAATTTTTTATTTGAAATTTTTTGAATTCAGAATTTTCTAAGCCCGCTGCTGCCATCTGTTGAAATTAGGACACTGACAAGTTTGTTTATTGCGGTTTTTTTCAAAATTCAAAAAGAAAAAAAGTGTGATAAGTGTGATAGTTATTCTATACCTTTCTGTACTTGTCAAAGTGTATCATGGAAGAGAGTCTTAGCACCACGAAGTCGTATCCAATGATGGGGTTTCCCCTGTACTGGTCCAGATATTGGAACTGCATCACAGAGTGCTTCTGCGACTTTTTAATATCGACCTGTGTAGTTTTGGTCAGTGTGAAGTCACCTGATAACAGTTTAAAACTGACATTTACAACAAAAAGTCAACAAATATTTTTTAGCGTTTTTTTTTCTATTACATGCTTATTTTTCTCAGTTATACATACTTTTTATAATAACGCATACTGACAACAAGTGCCCAAAATTTCCAAATCAGAAGTTCCAAACCAAAAGCGACCCTAGGATTAAATACTTCATCGGTTCTGCTCGCCCACTGATCATGATATTTATTCATGATCAATGTTAGTTCAGCATTGTCTATATTTTAAAAAACATGCGGATGTTAACGGTGGATTTCATTTTTCATCTGATTAACTACGAAGTATAATTTGCCACAGAATACGAGTTTTGTGATAAATTATACTTCACAGTTAATAAGATCAAAATCTAATGAAGTTGTCTTAACTAGATAACAAAGAGCAGTTGTTTTTGAAAAAGACGCGATATCTTAGTCGTTGAATTTAATGACCGATCCAGATCTTTTCCCAGGGAAACTATTTGGTTTACTTTTAACTAACCAAAACTTTTTTTTTCATTAAAATTCCATTGGATTTTGCTTGGCTTTGTCTGTGTTTAATTGTACTAACCAGTGCGCACTTCGATCTGGCCCGGCTGGAACCACTTCATAGCGTTGTCATTGAACACACAGTGGGCGGCTGTCACCACCTCCAGAGTGTTGATTATCGTCCCACCACAGTAACTGTTTCATACATTAACAATTCAACATGTAAAATGGCACAATGGTATCCCACAATATCTACGCTAAAAATTATTTGTTCAAATTTGAAAAAAAAAAAATATTCGTAATGATTAACTACCATTTTTCAGAAGGACAAAGTGATAATTCTCTAACCCATAACTAACCAATTGAAAAATCAGGAACCCCCCCCCCCCCTCACCACGGCAGCAGGTCAACATGCAAAATGCTGATTTGGTTTTTACTTGATTCTGCAGTAATGTAAAAAAAATCTGAAATTAAAAATCTTTGCTCCGACCGCGTCTGACGTCATGATGACAGACTGAAATAATTATGGCGTATAGCGAGTTAATTTCCACCCGGGTTTGGGTCATCTGAAGGAAAAATTCATACGGCCTCAAATATCCTGTTGGCCGTGATTCGTTAGCCGTGATTCGGTTTTTTGTTGAAACTTGCCTCGGTATCACGAAAAAAATGGTCTGAACATTACATTTTGGTAGTTGACTAACTTCATCAGGGGAGTGGGTGAATTTTGTTTTACGAAACCACGCCCAATAAGTCTAATTTAAAAATCTTTTTAATGTAGCAGTTCACTTTTCTCATCTTGAGTTCCCACATATCATAATTAGCGCAGGATACTGTTCTCATCTTACCGTTTGTCTATTATCACTCTGGCGTAGAAGGCGTAGTCAGTCACTCGAGCCTTTGAACCACCTAAATAGAACAGACACTTCCATTGTTAGTTGTATCAAATCTGGAATGAATGTGAGTGTTTTCATTGGGACAATTGATTTCTCCCATATGACTGTCAACAAAACTTCTCGTCGACCTTTTCTATATCAATCAAATTGATGTTCCGAGCTCTTCTAAAACGCTAGTTGCCCCCTGTATACCTTAATTTTTGCACTTATAATTTTAATGGTAAAGAATCGAAACTACGGACCTGTGATTCTGTCTCCTGCTGTGATGTTACCCATTGATATGTTCATCCATAGTTCTTCTGTCGCATTAACTTTTTTGCTTGCATTTTTGTCAGTTGTCACTGACAATTCACCTGCAGTTAAACGCCAGCAGAACTAAACAATATACTAAACTCCGGCACACAATCAGAAAAAAAAATTACATTCATCCTTACTGAAAGCTGTTAATCTGATCCTTGCGTAGTTAATTTTTACCCTAATTTGCGAATGGCAAAAAAAATTATGTGATCATGAAAGTATTCCCGAAAATCAAATTATGGCTGAATTTGTTTAAAAAGTTTCATTTTTGCTTGCAACAATGAAAAATTATTTACAAGTGTTGACTAATAGACAAATTTTCCCATTCAAACATGGTGGATGATTTTGCTCACGTGGTACTTAGTTGTTATCTAAGTGTGGGCTTTGGTCGTTGATTTAATTTCAATACTTTTCAGGTTGATTAATAAAACATATTCACAAAAGATTTAACAAAAAAATGAGCGTCAGGAAGTTGACTTACTAAAATTATCGTAGAGATCGCAGAAGTATCCATGTCAAAAGCTGCAATGTTTTTATTTCAAACTAACCAAAACTAATTTTATCGTATGTCAAACAGTTTGTGAAAAGTCATAAATCAAAAATCAAAATTTGACCATTTTTTTTGTGAATTCGAAAAGAGACAGATTGACAGATTACCTGATATCCCTTACCGGTTACCTAACGTTGAAGTGGCAGCATGTCCCCGCCATTGATTAATAAGCTTCTAATAAGGAATATTTTAATGAATCATTTTCAATCTCGCATAAATATTTTAATTACTGAAATAATGCTTTGGGGACAACAGAAAAAAAACAAAAATTAACACTGTGTTAAATAAGTCATGATTTCATACAACTTGAGCAATCGCTCATACAAGAATAGCCGGTTAACACAAGAAAATACAAGGATAGTTGGTTACCGAAGCATAGAATGTTCCGACCATAGTCTTAAAAAAATAAAAATAAACAGTTTTTTCGAAGTAGTGTAGTTTTTTTCCGGCGTGATGTGATAAAAGCAGCAGAGCAACAAACCTAAATATATGGAATTTTCCGCAGTCGTAGTAAAATAAGCGAATTGAAAAACAGTTTTGTAGAAAAATGATTAAAAAAACGAAGAAAAATTCAGAACTTTTTTTCAAATGTTTTTGCAGTTTTTTTTTTTAATTTTCGAGTTTTTTTATTTCAAAAAGGCACACAAAACTATAAAAAAACTAACGTTACTCAAGTAAAACTAAATTTTACGTTTTAAAATCAGTTGTTATTCCTTTTTAGCCATTAAAATAAACTAATGCAAATCTGCTCGCGTGCTTTATTTGCTCGAATTGAGACAATAAACTAAAGATTTCCAACCGGTTTTTCTCGACACCGTCATAAATTTGGTTTGAATCACAATTGTAAGGGCTTTAATATGATGCAATCTTAATTTCTCTCCGGTGATTTTTTGTTTTAGCGGGAAAAAAATAGAAAAAAGAAAAAACACGCCCGAATACAAATTTCTTCTTCCTTAAAACTTTTTCCATTTTGAGTTTAGATTAGCTAAATAGTAAAAATAAAGAGCTATAATGCACCAAACATATCACTTCGTGATGATAATTACGTGTGATAGGAAATTTTTCAAAAAGTACTTTCCTGAAAGATGTCCAGTTTTAAAAATTTAATTGAGTTTTTTTAAGCACTAATTACCGCAGACAATTAACAAATTGTCAAAATTTTTAAAAATTATTCTGGGTAAAATCAACTTTGTGTGAATGTTTTTCGTCTTTGTCATCCAAATAATGTTGAAAAAAAATTATATGGCAGAAAAGAATGATAAAAAAAATTGAATACAATTCGGTTTCCTGCGAGTTGCAGAGAAGACCCTAGTAGGCATTAGTAGGCTTTTCTTAGGCTTGTCTATTTGTTTGACTTTACCGCATTCTAGACTGAGCTACTCACATCCATTTCGTAGAACTGTTAGGTGGGTTTCACTATTGCAACAGAAATTGGCCAAGCTGTTGCAGAATTGAAGGTAGAGATCAAGTAAGATTTCACCCTCATGCGCTACTAATGTCGTAGCAGAAAACTGATTACTTGATCTGAATTTCTCAAAATGAACGCCTCACATCTATGCTGAGTATCTCAAAATTAAAAGCGCAAGATCAATTTCTCTAAACACTTATTCAAAAAATAGTGCCAAGCTGCGCTGCGAAAATTACAGAAAACTCAAACGCCTTATATTCTTTGAATTCCATGCATGATTCTGAAGAAAAACTAATTCTTCTTCCTTTTTAAAAATAACCAACAAAAAGTTGAAAAAGAAACCTGTATCAATATAATTTTTTGCTGGGAAACTAAAAAACTGAAGTTGATTTTTAAATTTGAGTGAAGGGTTTACCCGTACTCAATGAAAGGAGAAAATAATAGATTATAATGGATTTTATTGTGAGTCTCCATGAATTTCAAAAAGAATTCATTATAATTGATTAAAAGTGGAATATAATGTCAATATTTTTCGAAACGATAAAAAAAATTATTATAATCGATTACAATTGATTATAATCAATTATTTCTTAAATTTTTTTTTCTCAAATTTTATTGAATTATAATCCACTATAAAAATGCCCACAAACGCCTTTTTTGGCTAATTTTTTTTTCAAAAAACTTTGCGATTGGCGCAGAAAATTGGACCAAAAAAAATGGTTTTTTAGTGTTTTGAGAGAACTCGGAAAAACAATTTGGCCGATCTAATAAAAATGTCGACAAAATTGCAAATCCGCCCCCAACCCCTAGAGAAAATCCTAGATCCGCCCCTGCTTATGGTTTAAATATAAATTAAATTTGATTTTTACTGTGTTTTCATGCAGAATAGCTAAATTTTAACCCATTAGAATTGATTTTTTGTGAGGTAATATTTTGATAGAAAAAGGGATTAGAAAAAAAATAATTGAAGAGAAAATAATTGAAGATTCACTTTCGTGTTTAGAAATGATTTTGAAAAACAATTAAAATTTTTTGAAAGATTATTTTATTAAATTTTGCTTTGAGTTCCTTCGCGTTGAGTTAGTTTCTTGTTGATGAGTAGAAGTGAAACAAAGTGAACGTTCCCTTGCAGTGTGTCGGCTGCGATTCTTTTCTTCTTGATGTTGTGATTTCCGTTTCCGAGTCGCTCTTCGACTGTCTTCAGAATCTGCTGGGATGTCTCTTCGTTTAGCTCCACTGGACAACTCAAGCTAGAGTAGATATCAAAGGAGGTCTGAATACTGAAACAACCTTCATTACAATAATAATAAGTTTAAAGGTCAATTGATGGCATTAACATTTTGAAAAAAAATCCACTTTTTAGGTCGAATTTGTCTTCCAGATCATTTGAAAATTACTCAATGTTATGAGTTCACGAAAGCGAAAAAAGAGCAATACCTATTTAAAACTCGATTTTTAACCCAAAGTTCTGAGATGTTGCACATTAATCTTGTTACTTTCTATGCCCAGTAAGTCAGTAAAAATATTAAAAAGTCATTTTAAGAGGTATGGGAGCAAATATAAGTATACTAAATTTCATTTGAGTTTCGATTGTTTATAATGCACAGCCCCTCGCTGATATTCTTGAGAGCTACTTTGGGCAACTTTACAAATTTTGGGCAACTTTACAAGTGCAAAAAGTGTTCAACAAAAAAATTATGACATCTCCGAGAAAAAAGCGTCAAAATAAAATTAAAAAGTGTGGACAAAAAAGCTGATTCATGTTTAGACCAAATAAAGGTATATCAGCGCTAGACTTGATGATTTTATTACCAGCACCGGTTCAGAAAAGTGCGTCACAGAAAAACAAATTACATTTATCTCATCTATGTTTCAAAAAGGCATACATATCAGTCGCCGTTCAAACGACGAAAAATACTCGAAAACTGAAGCACTCCAACTTAGATCAATAGTGTAACATTCAAATGAGCTCTCATTAATAGTTTTGGCACTATTTGGATAGACGATAAATCAATATTTTTTATCACCAGCAATTCATAACTCATGTTAAAACATGGCTACAGATGAAGACTTTGACTCGGGGGATTTGTCGAGCGCAGCTCACGCTGGTAAGTGTATATATAATCTTTAAACATAACTGACAATTAGCCCCCTGGCTGGAAAATGAGTCAATCAAGTGCTTTTAGCGGACTATCTACAAGTGGACGGCAACCAGAAAAGGTTGAGCGAACAGAGTTACAATAAACTTAGCAGCTCCTCTATACGACTCAAGAGCCCTGCGCTGACTTCAAGAATAACGTCGGCAACTTCAAAAAGCGCATTCAAACCAGTCAAAAAGCAACGCCGACAATCGCTCGAGAGCTCGGCGGTTAACTTACAACGAAACGACTCGTTTGGAGTGTCCAATAACCGAGGCGCGATGACGAAAGAACTCCTGACGGCACAATTGAAGAGCTTCCTTGTCGAACCTTCAGCTCCCAGTTCCGGAAATCAGCACCGGAAGCTGCCGGTTTCCCCTCCGGAAGGGCAACAGGATAACGGCGTGCACAGTTTGGACAGACAGTCGCTAAGAAATAGAAGGCCCAATTCAACCGACAGTCGAAGTAAGATCAAACAACCTCATAAAGCCAAAATTTCGAGATTTTTTTGTATTGACCCCATTTTCCCCAATAATAGCATGTATTGGCGCCAAAAGCTACTTTGCAAAAATGGTACAGCTGGATTGCAAAAAATGAATGCTATAAATTATTAGGAAAAGGGACCTTTTGGTTAGTACGAGCATGATGGTTGGGTCTCAAGCAAAAGGAACTATGGAAGATTTTATGAAAATGACAACAATGAAAACGAAAATGTGAAATGGGTCCTGCTATATAAATCCGTTCCAATTTTAAACATTCTGATAGTTCCTTGAATGTGTAATTCCTTGAATAATAAGATCCTTGAATAACTGATAACTGTGTAATTCTGTAGATCTAAGATACGACAGAACTTCTCCGATGAGGGCTGCCTTGAAGCCACCCTTTGGAGGATCCAACGATACTAGTCGGGTTTCACCCTCGAGTATCCCGACTGCGACTCAGAAAAGAAGTCTGAGCAACAGCCGAATTCCGACGCCCTCATCTCTAAACACAAGTGCTGTCATGAACCAAAATTCGGCTAATCATACAAGCCAGGGTAACCAACAGCCGTCTCAAATTCCAACATTGTCGAGGAAGAATTCGATTGGCAATGGTGGCAGTTCAACTAGCAGAATTCCCACTCTGGCTAGAAAATCTTCATTACCTTTTTCTCACAACCACGAAGAGAAAAACCCGTCAAACAAGTAAGAGACAAACTAATAGCAAAACTACTTAATTTTGTCTCATTTTAAGCTTTTTTAGCCATTTCATCAAAATTAATCAAAGTGAAGTATTTATTTATAAAACTTAGCGTGTAATTAACTATTTGCACTTATATAAGTTATTTTAGAGAGCAAGCATCAGTATCGAACCACGAGAACGCGGCAAACATTAATAGTGTTTCTGGTTCACACGCCCGCCAAACCGAAAAACCGAAATCTGCCTTCACGAATTTAAAACCCGAAGTTCAAATAAATCGACCTAAGAGTTCCGAAGTTGACGATGTATCCACGAGTGTTAGTTCAAATACAGCAAACGAGCAAAAGAAGAAGAAAGAGTCGGTTATTTATATTGACTCGCAGCCGAAAGAAAATAGTCCGACAAATACCAAGCCAATAACGATGTCTCAAATTCCAGTGTTCCGACGAGCGAGTTCTTCCCAATTTGAAGAGACATCGGCTCATCAGTGCAGCCGGAACGAGAGAAATCCGAGATTGAAAAACGCTTCCGAATCTGAAGCTGGACGTCGCCAAGAACGGCAGGGTACGAAAACTTTGTCTAGTTTCAGTTCAAAACAAATAAATTCCAGACGAAACTCCCACGATCGACAAAAAAATGAAAGTTCCGAGGAAAATAACGAAGAAAATATGATGAACTCTGCGCCGACCATGAGAAATGTAAGCTTCAGCCCGCTTCCGACAAACCCGAATTTTTGTGGGTTCGAAACAAAGCAGGCGGATGTCATCACTGAAGCCTTCGGAATCATTGGCAAATATTTTCCCGAAAAAAGATTTCATATGTATAACCTCCAACGATCCAAATCATTGCGATCTAAAATAAAACCAAATTTTTTTGCCTCGCATAGTAACAGTTTTGCAGGAACCAACCCTTACTTGCTACACAGATACAATTCTCTACTTTCGAGTCAAAAGTACTCGCCGGATTCTTACAATTTGGGATATATGCAAAACGGACCCTCGATATCTCACACTTATTTGGAGAATGCTTTCACTCGGTTAGGATCTGGACAATTCACGACGTTGAACCCGCATCTGAGAAGCAGAACACCGCCTTTAAATTTTGTCTATCCAGCTCTGAGGCACCCTAACCCCCTGGTGTATGTTCAAACACATCCACAAATGTCCTACCTGCCAATGAGAAATTTTCAAATCAATGATGGTTTTTGAATGAAACAATCAAAAGCCAATTTCTTGTATCAGGGTTTTTTGTAATTAATTTTTATAGCAGTTAATGGAAAAAAAATAATAATAAAATTGATTGTCATCGTTATTTTTCCTGTGAAGATATTAAGCTCACTATATCTAGTTATCGGAACCAAGGCGGATTTAGGATTATCTCGAGGGGGGGGGGGGGGGATTTTCAAAAAAATCTCGAGAATTTTCTCAACCTTTCTTTTTGTCAACCAAATTAAAAAAAGATCCCATTTTGACCAAATTTTCCGCGCCGCAGGCAAGTTTTCAAATAAAACAGGCCAAAAAGGCACTTTTAGGCAATTTTGGGAAATTTTGACCGAAAAATTGCGTTTTTTCGGCGCGCGCTCCCCCTCAAAATGAGTATATTTAGGCGCCAAAGGCGCGTTTAGAAAAGTTTTAGGGACAGTCAGCCACAAATGGATATATCAAAATAGTACAAAGGGGGACCCTTTAGGTCGGCAGGGGGTCGAATCCCAAAAGGGGAGAAGGGACGCCCCCCCCCCCCTAAATCCGCTGGTGATCAAAACTACAAAGATGGTTTGAATTTTCCGGAAAAAAAAGCATTAGTTTTGAAATGTGAAGCGCATTTTTCTCAAATTGGGTTAATTTTAGATTAAAAAGGATCGAGACAAAACTTGCTAGAATTTTAGCAGAATTAATATGGTGCAATTCGTTTTGCGAGATTTGGGCACAAAATTTTACTCCAAAAAAGATAATTTCTGGTTTTTTGTTGGTCAAAAATTACGGTGGAATCCCTCGTATGCAAAGGACCGAATGCGCGAAAAAAAATCAGCCAATCAGATTTCAGTAATCTAAAATTTGGAAAGAAAACCTCAAAATCTGAAAGAAAGTAAACATTTCCTGGGACTTAATATTGATATTGACCGAATATGAAAACGGCAGAAAAATGCAAACTATCACTGACCATCCGACGCTGAATTGAAATAAATTTCATAGTTGAAGGGTTTTGTTATGAAAGAAGCAAAATATTCCTTCATTTAATTCATTTCAATTGAATGGCAAATGCTTTTTTCTAAAAATTGACTTTCGGCTAATTTTGTTTCCGGTCCTTCGCCCACAAGTTTATTGCCCATTCGGTCCTTCGCGCATGAAACTAGCCCCCAGAAGTTACGCCAGAACTACCTAGTTGATCTTTAAAATAATTATATCAAAGTGAGCCTCTTACGTAGCCCAACAATCTTTAACGAGGTTATAGTCTCCAAAAACTTAAGGAAAACATTTCAAAATTGTTTTTAATTAAGAAAATCTGGTGATTTATATAGTGGAAACAACTTTTTTTTGTATAGCAAACAAAAAATTATTTTATTCATTGCTTTAGAGATTATATTTTCCTTAAAATTTAATGCGCCCTGTAAGAAGCTCGGTACTACTATGATAGAGTGGTCCCTCGAAAAAGCAACTATGATAGACAGGTCCCGCATGCATTTCGCATGTTATAATTTTGAAAACTTATTTGTGTATAAATTAATCATTTCAAAAATCTTGCAAAATATGTTCAGCCAAAAACTTTTCAGACTGAAAATTGTAATCACTATTGTTTATATATTGAAATTTGCTCGCTTTACTTTATTTTACGGTTTAACAACCATATGATTGGTTTGACTTATTTGTCATCAAAACCCACTATCGTCGGTTTTTTTTAAATTTTCAACATTAATATGGTGAGGGGGAGGTTTTAAGAGGTAAAAAAAACATGGGCTCTTTTTCCTTCCCCCCCCCCCCACCTGCAAATTTTTCAATTTGAAATTATTGTTCACTTTGTCCGATTGTCATGAAAATTGACATGCAGACTAATTAGGCCATAAAAAACATATTTGGTCTTCATAATTAACCTTGTAAAACCAATCGTTAGACTTCAAAATTCATGTTTGTGTGAGGTGGGGGGGGGGGGAAGGAAAAAGAGCCAAAACATGAAATTTGTTCGAAAATTTACTGCGACATCTTTCTGAAAGGCGTAATCATAATTATTAAACAATTTGAGAGCTCTAGGTGTCGTATTCTCAAGGTACCTGCTTATTTTCAAGGGACCACTCTATCATAGTAGTACCAGAAGCTCACTTTGATAAAAGTATGTTAGTGACTGATTTGGTAGTTGTGGCTAAATTTTGATTGACTAAACAACCAAAATTAAGTAAGATTTTTGGATCAATTTTTTGCGCCTAAAATTTGTGACTTCAAAAAATGTAGTATAACAGGAGTCAGCAGACAGTTGCAGTCTAGATACCACAGAATTTTCCCAACCAACACTTTAATATTTACGAAAAAAAAATGAAAGTTAGGGTAAAATCATTTACTTTCTCATTTGGAACGATGGTGACGTGGTTACGATCCGCCTCTTAAGCCGAGGCCCAACATGAGACGTGCCGGTGAGGCCAGATGTGTTTAAATTTCTTTTTGGAAAAGTTCTATTTTAGACACAAGGGAAAAGTAGCAAAAAGGGCTAACAAAATTTATTGCTCAGAACAAAGTTTTACAAATACAAAAAGAGTATATAATGCTATTGCATATCAAATTATTCACTATAAATGATTTATATAACATTAATCCAAATATTATAAAATATTTTTAAAATGCATAAATTATACAATTATACGAACCTTTTCATACGTGACATTTTCCGTAAATCATACGGACCATTTGGTCTAAAGGCTTCTCACAGGCTTCACAAGATTATATACTTATTATCACCAGTGGATTTAGGGAATATATACTAATTTTGAGCTGGGAGCGTTCCGAATGAACGCGGTTTTTTGGTCAAAAACTTTGCCTGCGGCGCAGTAATTTGGGTCAAAATGGGGTCCTTACAGTGATTTATGAGAGCTCAGAAAATCAAATTGGTCAACTTGAAAAAAGATCCGCCCCCTCGAGAAAACTCTAGATCCGCTCCTTGTTATTACCAAAATCTTAAACTAATCTACAAAATTGTGAGCCTGAAAACAATTTATTTATTATTATGGTTATCAAATGTCTCATGTGAAAAATTGATTTGCATTTTAGCAAGCTCAAACAAAATTCTTTGTAGTCAGTAAACAAATTTCAGACACGAACAATACAATAACTTCTAATTTCCCATAATTGTTCCGACTTTCAATACGAAAGTAACGGAATAATTGTGCTCGGGGTGGGTTTTTTTTTTCTTCAGACAAATTTCGACTTTTTAACAAGCCATTTTGTACAAAAATTTTATTATCATTCGAAAGGTATTGTTGTCTTCAGCTCAAATTGGAAAAGATATTTCACCTGTGATTATTTTTCGTAAAGTTATGGGGGTTTAAAGATTGCCATTTTGGCCAATTTGGAACAATTATTGCGCGATATATTTCGCGCTATTTACGCGTGAGCGGAGAGTTAATCCGCCTTAAAATTGTTCCAAATTGGTCAAAAGAAGCTTTTTTGCCATAATTGATTTGTTACAAGGAGCAAAATCTATCCTTTTATACTTTGTATGGCGTGTGGGGGGATGATTTTCATAAAAAATTTCGAATTTTAGAAAAAAAAATTTCATTTTATTTTTTCTTACGTTTAATTTTTTAAATGTTATTACTGCTCCATAAAACCTTAAAAGGCAGTCGGAACATTCAGGGCTTTGCCCTGATACGAGTAGTCTTGGGCTCTTTTTCCTTTTCCCCCCACCTCACTCAAACATGAACTTTATGGTCTAACGAGTGGTTTTACAAGGTTATTTATGAAGACCAAATATGTTTGTCATGGTCTAATTAGTCTGCATGTCAATTGTCACTACAATCGGACAAAGTGAACAGTAATTTCAAATATAAAAATTTGCAGGTGGGGGGGGGGGAAAGGAAAAAGAGCCTAGTCTTGTTGTAATTTTAAATTCAGTTTTTCCTGGCATGTCTAATTTGCCTGTCGTATAATTTCCTAGGCCCCGCTACAATTGACTTCAGATGTCGTCTTGTGCCGAACCTTTTTTAATCCTTTTCAACTATGATTAGATCTCAAAGCCCTCCCGCACAGGAGCTTCATGGATAATAATCGATTATATTGTCGTTTTATAGTCTGTATTCATAAAAACACAAGATTCATCAATTAGAATCCGTTTGAAAATCGATTAAAATCATAATCTTTCTTTTATCAATAAATTCCATTATAACTAAATTTAATCGATTATAATCCATCAAAAATGGTTTATAAACATAATAATTTTTTATATCAATTTTGGGAGGTTATTGGTGATTTTGGCAAGTTTTTTTTAGTTATCTCACTTCCTGTTTAAGGCAGTTGCTACGGATTAATTTTAATAAAATTCAGTTTTCACATAAGATTTATACTTTTAAATTTATCAACTTTTTCAATTTGGCAGTTTAACATTTTATTTAACTGTTATTTTTTCATCATCGCCATAGTAGAAAAAATACCAGTCGACCACTACCCCCCCCCCCCCGCCTACTGCCCCTACCACCCTGTCTATTGCCCGTACCCCACGCCCAGTTTAGGCCACCACCAATGTGAGTGGGGAGTTGCAGGTAACTGGACTTTTTATACACCAGAATGGGGGCGGTTGAGTGGCGAGGGGATTGGTGGGGCTATGGGAGGTGGTGGGAGTAACATATGGAGGGATATATTAGGGGTGGGGGTGGTATATTTGGGGTGGGGGAAGGGTGGGGTAGGTTGAAGGGACATTTTTTTTCCGGGGATGAACATGTTTGTTCGTGCTCTAATTTTGCAAAATTTCAAAAATTTCAAGAGTTAAATTAGCTGTAAACTATTTTCTGCAGAATAAAAGTGGATTTTCATGGATTTTTGTGACCCAGAAAAATCGATTTTTTTTTTCAAAACACCTACTATAATGTATTTTGAATATTGAAAATAATCGATTATGATACCATCAAATCCTAATTTCATGAGTGAAGGAAATTATTTCGTTTTTTTATACTCAGACTTGGTTCCTTTTTTAAAGAATTAAAATTTCTGTACATATTTCCTGCTGCTGTTCTTGTTAGCCCTCGTCATGTTTGTTAATTTAGGATGGTTATAGTAGCCCTTCTCGTCAATAATTACTTGGTTGAGTGCATCCACTGGATTTAGCGTTTCCAATAAGATTCTCCGCTGGAGATCACAATTTCTCATGTTGAATTTTATAAGGTCTATCATCCACTCTTGTTCCGCGATAATTCCTATTTCGCACGCTCTAGCTAAGTCCGATAGTGCTCCCCAAAATTGTTCCAAGAAATCTCTGAAGGACATGGATAAAACTTTCACCCTTGTAAATTTTTGTGGGAACAACCTTCCCCTTTGGCTCCTAGGTCCAACTAGAGGATGGATCTGACTTTTTATCCGCTTCGTTTCTCCTCATTCCATCAAAATTTCGTTTCTCTTCTGTGATTCTTTTGTCCTCCGCGTTTTCCTAGACTCCATTACTTCTTTGTTTCTGATCTCTTGAGCTTTCCTCTGAGTTTCATTTTCTGAATCCTGAGCGCCTTCTATTATAGGGATTGATAACCTGAAAGAACCATCCAATGGTTTTTTCAGGTTGTCTACATCTAAATTTTTTTTGGCGATGATGGCCAAGTGGAACTGTTGAATCAAATTGGTCTATTGGGTGGGTGGTTCTACATAATAGTTTGACCAAAAGTCGGGTATTCGCAGCAGATTCGAATCAGTGGACTGCACCATAATTGGGAGTATTCAAAAACCACTGGTATACTAAAGCTAACGAGGCTAGGTTACAAAAATAAAATTAAAATGTTGATTAAAAACTGATTTTTGTCTAAAGAGAGCATTAAGTGACGCGAAGTCCAATGGACTTTGGTTAGAACACAACTGACAAGTATCTAATTAGTGCTAGAGGTCAAGGTTAATAGAATCAAACACACGATCACAACATGGGTTAATTTTTTTGCGGATATACTCATTATATTTCCCATTAAACTCCAGTGAGGGTCGAGTGAAACCGTTTCTGAAATTTTAGTTGACGTTACAACGAGTTGAGCAGGCGAGTTGACAATGAACAACTTATTAAACCATGAAAACTAGTTTTTGGCTTTAAAAATCAAAGCTTTATTAGTTGTTGGATTATGCGAGCATAATTGTGATCAATTTTTGTCATTATAGTTTTTTAAACTAATTTTTGTCCTTCTCTGTTCTTTTTACATGCAAAAAATTTAAATCAAAATAAACCATAATAGTCCATAAATTTTGACTCACTTCACAATGCGCAACAATCGGGTAGTACATCAGCTTGTGGCATCAGTCAGTTTCAGAAACTCATTAGTTATAAAATTTGTAGGTAGCACATATTTTTGGTACCGGTGCAAAGTTTTCCAACCACAGTTGTCAGTTGTCAAGTTAATATTGAAAACAAACACAGTTCTTTGGAAGGTTTTTAGGTTTTCCTATGCTTTTTATTTGATATTATATTTTAATTTAGGAGTTTTTCAGCATATAAATCAGCAAACAAGACGATTGGGGTATCCAGACAAAAAATTGAATTTTTGGACTGCCTTTTAACAGGTCTCAATTATATTTGTTTAAATTTTTCCTGATGAAATTAAAATTTTGGACTGGCTATATCAAAATTCAAATGCTTAATATTCAGTCAAATTAATATGATTTATTAGTTTGCCTCAACTCAATTTGAAATAATTATGATTGCGGGATAATTCTTCCATTTTTCTCGAAATGCAAATCTTGCAATAAATTACAGTATTCTTGCTTTTTTCTTGCTAACTCTAAAAAATAAAAAATAGGTAAAACAGAGTGAAATTAAAAAATAATAATAATTGTCTAATTAATCAGATTTTTTTTCACCGCTGACTAATTCTAACATAAAAGATTATCGGTAAAAAAATAAAACCTTGCAAGATTTGCATTCTAGATACACTAAGGCCGACACGCATAAATAATACGCGCATAAAAACTATCCAATAAAAATTGAAATTCAGAATTTTTGTCGGCAATTTCTTTTCACTTGGGTATTTTGACAAATAATGAAATCATTAAACGACCTCTAAAATGTTTTAGCATTTGTTGCTTTTTTTCCCCATCACATCCGTTTAATGAATCAAACCGATTAATGAATTCATTAAATCTTTATCATAATAATTTTAGTATTCGTTGCTTTTTATCCCATCACATAAAAATATCTGGAATGTTATTTTCTCGAGAAAATTCGTTTTTGGCATGAAAATTTTAGTTTTTCCTTATAGACTAATCAATTCTTATTCCAAATTAACAGATTTAGCATTTTGTTAATTACACCAAAAATTAACTTAGAAAACATTTTTTATTTTCAAAAACTATCCTAAAGTAGGTGCGTTACTTTTATATGGGTTAACATTGAGATGAAATTACCTTGAATTTTTTACCTTAACAGTTCAGCTAGCTATATTTAGAGCTAGTACTTCGCGTTAAAGGGTGGAATCGAAGCTTAACTATGTTGACAGTGCCAATGAAAAAGTTTATTTTTCTGATCAGGTGCAGCCATGGTGTGTTTGATATACAAAAACTTAATTTCTCGTGATAATATCAATTTTTTTCAACTGCTCCGTAATTTTTAAATTTACCGTAATTTTACTGAACCTTATTCATTTAGGGCAGTTTTGCCTGAACGTTTTTTGCATGTGTACGGTATGAATATGAACTGAAAATATTTTCCGGAATATAACTTTCAATTTACACTTGGAAGTCTTAAAATGGTATCTAAATTTTGAATTTCGATTGATTTTGCAAAACAAAAACAGAGTTGAGGGATCAAAATTGGCGTCAGAATAATTCTGGCGTCGAATAGTTCAATGTTTCAGACTGTTTGAAGATCAATAAAAAAACTGTACCTTTTTGCGAGGTAATTTCTGAAGTAATTTGAACATCTCTCTCCGCTGTTTTCGAAGCTTCTTTTCGTAATCATGAAGGCGTGAATAAGAATGAACTTAAACTCCACAAATATGAACACATTTTGATGCATTGAATCAAATAGGGAGTTGAGAGCCTGAACTGAAAAAAGTGCCACTCCCAGTTCAAATGAGTCATAGGTAAGACGTGATAGAGATATTTGTTCAGGATGAGAAGAAAGGTCGGTTTGGACGAACTGACACGGGTACTGAATGTATCGCTGCTTGCAGTAGTTGACCCACTCCAAGTTGAGGTCTGAAGAAAAAAAAACAAATTAGAACTTCTGCTTGCATCTATAAAATTCTTTTTGGAAGAAATAGGTAAATGTTGAGGACTAAATAAATTTGGGAGTTAAGGAATAAAAAAATCATGTAATCATTTTGGAAGCAGGCAAATGTTAGCTACAAGTACGACTTAGCAAACTATTCATCAAACACAATTGATTCGTTTATTTGTAATCGGCGGTGAAAACGGGTGTCAAAACACGAAGCGGATCAATTGAGCAATCTCCCCCCCATTCTCGCGTGGGGGGGAGATAGCTCAATAGGTACTTGAGACATGTTTATAACCACTTGAAAATAGATTGAATGACATGAAATCATAAACCATATTTTCCAACGACTGTGGAAAGCCAAAATTTACAATATCAAAGCTCAAAAGTTTCATTCAAATAGAAAAAAGAATCAATAAATCAGGCTTAAAAAGCGACTTTTTTCTTTCTTAAAATGACAAAAAGCTATTGCGTACAATATTAAGGTGCTGCGGAGAACCGTTTTTGCTATTCAGATACAAGGCTAGAGCACCAACCCTGGTAAACCACTTTCCTCGATGAGGCTATGGTCGCCTATACAAAAATTTGCAAAAGAAAAAAATTCATAAATTTCAAGTTTTTTTTTCAAAATTTTTCTCGATACTCATATAAAAAAAAACTTCAGTCGGTCAAATGATTGCGTGCTATAAACAAAACATCCATCTACTTCCGTTTGCTGACGTCTTTTTGAAGAGTTTATTCATTTTTGCTGGGGGGGAGATAGCTCAATTGGTCATTACGGGGGGGGGGGGGGGGGGGGGGGGGGAGATTGCTCAATTGATCCCACGAAGCTGTCGAATTTATAAGATGACGTTGGTTCAAAAAAATTGTTAATGAAGCTCGAAAAATAAAAATGAAAAAATATTTTTTTAGGGCATAATGACTCACCGACACCTACAAACTCTAACTTTTTCCCATTCTTCTTCTGGATTTCGTCCACTACAGTGTGTATGGTCGGACATGGTCCACAGCCGAGGTCCATGACCCGGACCACGACAGAGTCAGAATTACACTTGGCAGCGGCGAAGTCTCGAAGTTGTCTGCGCAAGTGGGGTGTGAACACTTCGGCCTGATGTAGAAGAGCCTCTAGCTCCTTAGAACTCTTTTGAACAGGAGTCGAATTCATTCTCAGATAACAAAGATTAGATAAGAGCTGTTTTTTGATAGTTTTACAATTAACACAAATTTTGGGTAAATGTAAGCAATAATGGACTGACTAAATTGAAAATTTGGATTAGTCCAAGGTGGTATTTAATAAAAAAAATGCTGGTCTTAACTTGAAAAAAATTGGAGATAAGTATAAAGATCGAGACGGCATTAAGTAACTGATATGGTATTAGCTTTACTCAACCGTCTCAGACACTACTTTCATGTAATCTTTTTCATATTAGTCTTTTTATTATGCAAGATTACCGAAAAGTGTTCTCGCAAAAAAATGCAATCAGTAAAAATATAATTAAAATGCTGTCTGAGTGAAAAACTTAAGTAATTCATGTAACTTGAATTAAATTATCTAGCGCGCCATAAAAGAACTATAAAACATCTAGAAACAATAAATTATTTCTAAATTTAGAGGCGCGACAGTGTTTCGAAATGAGCTAAACTGCGACCATAAAATTCATACCAAAACATTTTCTCAATTTCAAATTCCCAACATCGGTCAAAATAACTCCACTAGAGCGGCGCCTTCAAAAAATAACAAACCGGTTCTTCTTGAAATAAGTAATTCAATGAAACGTTGTGCATTTGTTTTTTGGTTACCTCAGATCAACTCTGACTGGGTTCCACTAGCATTAGTCGAAATACTGTGGCGGTTAAGTAAAAAAAAGCAATAACCAGCATATGTTTATATCATTTGTTCTTCATCCATAGCCATTCTGTTTTCAACGCATATAAATGCACATAAGCTGCAAAAGTCGGAAATGCACGCGTCTGTAGAGGTGGAAAAAGCAAGGCGATTAAATGTAATTTCCACGCTTGCTTTTCCTTCCTTTCAATATTATTCAGAAATGGTAAAAATAAATAGGAAGTAGAAGATTTTTTTTACTGAGTTAGGCCAAGATAAAGCAGAGACAAGCCACAATTATGACACAGAAACGGGCGAGTATTTTAAGACTTCGTCTCGAACTGACAAGCGACGTTTTTGCGAATACAATCAATAGCTGGTTTTAAGTTTCGTGGGTTGAGTTTCTGCGACTAACTACAAGATTCTCAAAGTCGAACAGATAAAGACTTTGCGCCCAAAATTATTTAGTCTGGACAGGGTTTGATAGTTGGGCACGAAATCTTGAAAGATCGAGTTTTAGTCGCCTTAGTTTAGAAAATGGTCGCGACAGTTTGAAAGCTAACATAGAGTAACAGTTAGTAGCAAAAATTCTCTAATTAGGTGCGAGAGTCTAGACGGGGCAGTACAACAAGGCCGAAAAACAACAATGCCGAGAACCAAAAATTTGTTCAAGAGTGGCAAAAATTGTTTTGGATACTACTTTTACTCGTCTCAAATTACTGGCAAAAGAGCCAACGATTTATAGAAAGAGTTCAAAATCTACAAAGATTATCAATTTCTGAGACCGTTGAAAACATTTTTGTTTGGGACTTTCGCACCCGCATCCAATTTTAGGCGTAAGTAATTGATTATAACGGAATGTTATGTTGATTTTTGGAATAATTAATTGATTACAATTAACCAATTAACAAAATTACGCGTTTAAAAATTTTATTATCGACTAAAATCGTGATGTTTTCCAAGAGATGATAATTGATTATGGTCATACAAAAAACTCTTTAAATCATTGATAATCAATTTAATTTATTTATAATCTCTTATTTTGCCGAAGTTTTGTCTCACTAAAAGTATTTTTTAATTATATTTTATGGGTTATTATTTTTCGGTCAATTACGAAATCTCAAAAAATTACATGTCTTTTCACACTTTATCAGAACACAAAGTTCTATCACAAAACAATTGTTTCATACAGAACCGTTCATATGAATTGAAAGGTTCCCACGGTAGGTGAAAATTAAAATAATCCAAACAAATCATAAAACTAAAGCAATGTGCAGATTTTTTAGTGGTTACAAAAAATTTAATTGTGCACCATGAAGCAACTTTAATTAGGATGAATTGAATAAAAAGTTATAAATTTGTATTTTTTGAAAATTTTCAAAACATTTTTCTCATTTTTCCGTAAACTAACGCGTGCAATTTTAATGGAGTTTTTGAGCAAAATTTATGTATTCAAAATTGCGATAAAATTAACAGATTATTAGATATTCTATTTAAAGCAAAATTAGACGGGTTAACTATCGATTATAGACGATTAAAATGTAATAAGAATAACTATTATTTGAGTTCAAAAAGAGAGATTATAATCAATTATTAAATGATTAAAATCAATTTTTGCTCAATTTCAGTGAGGGTGGTACTAAAATCAGAAAAGTTCCAACTTTTAACGCTTGGAAACTGATGAGGGTATTTCACATTTTAGTAAAATGGATCTATTTAACAATCGCAGTTCAAAGTGCCGAAGAACAGCAGTGCCGAAACTAAAATGTTTTCAAGATTGCCAAAAATTGGTTACTTATAAAATTTTTGATTTTTTTTGAATTGTGGGCACTTCAGCGTAAATACTGTTTTGCATGGAAGCAAAATCGTGAAAAAAATTACAATTTGCTGAGTTAAATGTTTTATCAGAAAAATTTGGGACGCCGCACTTGCAGAATGTTTGTTTGTTTAACAAGCGTCATCAATTAAATGGTCAAAACTTCCGTCCATTTGAATATAATTACTTACCAGTGATTTCGGATCAGTAAGACCAGTATTCAAACTAAATTTGAGCCTAGTTGGATAACAGTTCAGTTTCATCAGTGCCTTTCATAGTTGGATTTTTCTTATTGGCTACTTTCCAAAAAATGTGATTTTCGAAACATAGATGCATTATCAAAGTAACTGAAGCAAGAAACAGTTTTGAAACGAATCCTCAATAGCGTCTCGTATTTGAAGCAGAAGTATTTCAGCAAATCTCATTTCTCAGAAGAAATAACTTGTTTTAGGTCAAAATCTAGTAAACAGCTCAGATTTTGAGAAAAATCTGATTAGTGAATTTTCATGGCTAATACTCAAAGCTTGTCTGAAATCTGTTATTGACAGTTAAACTTTTTTTATTCCATCGTTATAGTCAATTAAAAAGAATAAATACTGCCTATAATTTTCCTGTCAAAATGGTTCCTGAGCGCTAAGAAGAAATTTTTGTTTCTTTTTAACACAGAACTGTTTCAGTTGTATGCCGTGCTGCAGAGGTGTTTTGAGCTTTTCAGGAGATATACTTTTAACGTTTTCGTTGAGAATTTAACAGAAAAAAGTTTCTTTAATTGATTTTGTGATTTAGTGAAGAGAGACAAATGCTGATCTTTATGACAAGCCAATCATTTTTAGTTTTTCTTTTTGTGAATTACTAATCGCTTCTATACAAATCAAAGCTGTAAATTGTTTCAAAAGTTCTGATAGAAAAAGTTTCAGCAATCAACAAAATTACTAAGTTTTTGTCATTAACTCGTTTGATCCACGGCGGGTGGTGATCCAGGTCCAGGATAAGGACCCAAGATAAAATCTCCATAGTTGTTTGATGAAATGGGTCAGTCAATCCACGACTTAAGAAGTGTAACTCTTTTTCAGATAACGGATAGGAAGATGACATTCAATTGAAAAAAGTCACTTTTTTGTTCTTTTTTTGGAATCATTGAGTTAAGACCGATGTGGTTAACTCATAGAGTAATTTCGAATAGGGTACACCGTCTGCTCGTCACGCTATCTTATTTTCGGCCGGATAGATTCGTGCAACTTCTTAATCTAATGCCGATCCTAATCTTACTCTTATACTTTCTAGTCTCAGGGTGTTTAACTAGTCTCTGCTAGGCTCAGTAGATCTAAGGTATACTGGTTTGTTGCGGCTGCTGAAGTTCTCTTGGAGAGGCAACTATATTCTAAGTTAAATTCAAATCTCTCTGGTGCTGAAATTACAAGTAATTTCAGCACTTACAAATAAGTGGGTTGTTAGTTAGATGGATTATGATTGGTTAATATTAAATACTTTACAGTGGTAAAATATCCAATTTATCCAATCATAAAATATAGTTTAGATCAGGTTCCACCCATCCGGGTTTTACAGAGTTTTTAGAATTATCTTTCTGCAATTCAAAGGATGGATGATGAACGTTTGTATTTGGCGAACATCACATTCTTGTCCGGTTTCTCTTGTTAAAGAAGTTCCAGGACGCTGGAGTTAGGGACATCAATCGTTGTGTCGTCTTGTGACAACGACTGTGTTCCCCGATGAAATCAATCTGATTTCAAAATGGTTTGCTATGACGGGTTTTTCTGTATTATGTAGAGAACTTGTTTTGTGTTCAACCTCGTCTGGGAATGGCGTGGAGATCGTGTGTGGAAGGGATGCCTCGTAACTCGGATCTGTACGTATACTTGAACATCGAGGTGGTCATTGGTCTAGTTCAATGAAGTCCTTTTCTGCGAAGTCAAGTTGTACTCTAAATCCTTTGAGTTGTGATTGTGGACGGCATATCGGTTGTGGTTAGCCATTCTTGTTCGAGTGTGATGGAGTCACTTTGTCTTTGGCTGTTCGTCTTTGTTGTTGTGTGTCAATTTATATACTGCAAGGTATGATTTACATTTTATAAAATTTTATTAGTTCGGTTTTTTAATCATGAATTTAGTTAGTTGTTTTCACAAAAGCTTTTTTGTTTTAGTTCGGTTATTTTGAAGAGTTACTCGCCCTTGAGTACGTCTAATTAAAAATAGAAGTGTGGTCACAAAGCGTGGATGTAGCGCAGTGGGTTAGGCCGGCAATAGAGCATGCTCAGGACGTCCTCTCTGGTGGGTTAGGCCAGGAGTGGGAGTATGATTTCGTGCGGTTTCTTTGAGAGGTCCTGTTATGTGATAACGTTTTATGTTGGATTTATGTTGGTCTTTCTTATGTTTCTTTGGTTGTGTCCTTTTTTCAAAAATAAAATTGTTTTTGGTATGGGTTTGTCTTGCGACTTTTTTGTGTTTTATTATTACTTTCTTAGACTTTATAATAGTCTTCAAAAGAATAAATTATCCAGTTTTAAACTGGGTTAATCCGGTTTGGGTACCGTTGGTTTTCTTTTCTTAGTCATGCTGTTATTTTATGATTTGTGGTGTTTAGTAAGCTGCGTTGGTTAGTTTGGTTTAGTCCAACCGGGTTAAAGGAAAGTTTGAAACTTGTTATCGTGTGTTAGAGTTGTTGAGTGTGAAAACTTGAAACTTAAAATCATTATTTAAACAATTCTTCGTGGGCGAGCTGTGCGAGTTTGGATAGAATTCTTGTGCGAGTGAATGAAAATATTAAAAGGTTAGTACTGCATTTTCATTTTATCAATTTATTACATAGAATTTCA